CAGGGCTCACACCGCAGGCAGGGACGGAGCCGGGGCCCTGCCTGTGCCTCCCCTGCCAGCCCGATGGCAGGACTGGGGTACACACATCCCGCTCTGCCCTGTGGACACGCCGGGCATCCTCCTCCCCATCCCCAAACCCTCCGTGCCCCCTCCCCGGCTCCTCCCCAGGCTGTTCGGACTGCAGCTCCCCACCTCAATTAGCAAGCGCTCCCTCTCTGACTAATTACTTTGCTACTGTCTTTATGCATTATTATTCTAATGATTATTAATTATTACAATCTTCTCCCATTCCTGCCGCGCTGTCTGCGGTCAGAAGAGAACAACACGCACGGACCCGCTTGTTACAGTGATTTATTGGCGGAGCTCCCCAGCTGTGTTTAACACCCGTGGGCTCCGAGGTGCACCGACACGCTCGTGCGTGTGTGCGTACCCCATCCCGGAGCCTCCATGATCCCCCTTTTTTCCCCCCCATCCCATTCTTTTTCCCATTCCCCCCTTTCCTCCAGGCTTTCCTGCTCACCCCCATTCCCGCTCCCTGGTGCTGCATTTGCTTTTAGCCCTTTGCTATTGCTCCTCCTGGGGTTTTTCGTGTCCCCCCAGTGATGCTTCTCCCCCCTCCTTCCTCCCATCCCCGGGCGATGCGGGGTCTCGATCCCACTGGGGCTCCCCAGCTGAGCCCATGCCCCAGGCATCCCCCGGTGAGGCCGGGCACGGAGACAAGCCCTTTCCTGCCCCAAAACCCTTCTCACCCTCCTCCTCCTCGCCTTCGGAGCAGAGGGAGCTCAGCCCCAGGACCAGCTCAGCCCCTGGATCGCAGGCATCCCCCCCCCAGGCCCTTTCCCCTGGCCGGGCGCCTGCCCCGGGACCCGGCTGCCAGCCCCGCAGGAGCACCCTCCCCGCCTTCGGCCCTTTCCCCCTCTCCCCCAGTGCATCCCACCGGCCAGGCCAGCACCCCCAGATGCTTCTTGGAGGCCAAAACCCCATAAATCAAAACTCTGCCGCTCCATTGTGAGCAATATCTTATGTAAAAAGGTGTTTCCAGGGAGCACCGAAGGCTGGAGAATCCTATTACGAGGCACACTATTAATTATAAGGAGTCAGCCCAACCTACTCCAGCAATTTTTTATCCCAGGTCCAAAACCTGATTACTTTCCACCTTCTGCAGACCTTCCCTTCTAAAAAAAAAAAAAAAAAAAAAAAAAAAAAAAAAAAAGGAAAAAGGAAAGA